AGAAAAGAATGAAAAGACAATTTGGACAAGAGTTACTGTACATACTCACATGTAATTCAGTCATCAAGGGCAGATTTTGGAGCCAAATTGTGGAATTTTATATGACCTGTAGACAAGCTGAGGGTCATTCCACAGAAAGGGGAAAGTGCCAGCACCACATCAGAAGGGAGTAAGAGTTTTAAGTATAGTTCTTTTGGGAGTAAGAGTTGGTATAGTACTTACATTGATCTGTAGATACGTCAGTCCATGTTTTTGGGGCCATTTTCTGACGAATAAGTCTAGGTTTATACATGAGTATATTCAGTAGGTACAAGACAGAGAGAACAAGAAAGTGCTGGACTGGGGGATGGAACAAAAGATGTGAGGAGACAGGAAGAGAAACAGGACACGAAAGATAAAAAAGTGAAGACAAGATTTAAAAGCAAAAGGAACCTAATGCCAAAATAGAAGAAAACAAATTGCGCCACACTTTGAACTTTGCTCTGCTGCAAGCAAATATTCAGCCTTATCTACTTAGCTGGTTGCTCCCTAGCCACTTCAGTGAGCCAGAACAGGAAAGAGTCCAGCCTCTATTTGGGATTGTCACCTTTCTAAAGATCCAGATCATTTACTACTACTATTGAATGCCGTTGTTGGGATGCCTGTTTGAAAGGAGTAGTTAATTCATAGAAGACAGATTTCATCAGAAAAGAATGTAAAAGCTGTTTATCACACTTGGATTTTGCAAGTCATTATGCATCACATGAGACGGGTGTGAAAGAAATAGATACTGTCATAGATTGGCAGGGAATACTCTGTCTTCAAGGAAGCAGTTTGATTTCTGTCAACATCTTGATTTTGTAAATTAATTCTGATATACTCATATCTCAAAATAGGAACATAAGGTCATCTGGAGGAGCAGATGCAGTTTTGCTAAAAAGAGGTACTTTTGTGCCTTGTTTGTTTAAAAAACTATCAAAATTGTATCCCTTCTATCTCTTTATTGATATTTGTGATCTCATTCCCCTGACATTTAGTTTGGATAGGATTGGGTAAACATAAGTTAGATATGTATGTGTCATCGATCTAATTGTGTACATTGGATTTTTTAATCTCTGTGATATACGTTAGGCGTTCTTACATGTGATGGAAATACTTTTTAATGTTTTGCAATTCATTTGTTTATGTCTACAAATGATTGGACACTTGGTTTACCACATATAAGAGCTTGATTTTTTTAAATTAAACTCACAAAGTTACAAAGTGGATAATTTGTTTACTACTAAATGTTGGTGAGGTCTTTATATCACCAACTAAAAGAAGCTGCATTCAGTGCTTACCTTAATTCTTCTGCTGTGAAAGTGACTGACCACACAATTTTCAGCAAGGGCTTCTCGGAGTTTGAAGGAATATTAAAAATGTAAATGTTGATTTTAAAGAGAATTAATATAATTCAGAGTATAAGAATTAAGAATTCATATGCTCCATGATATTAATGGAACTTTACTCAGCCAGTTTCCTGGATCTGCATTGACTGAACCCAACAGTCCAAATATGTGATGGCCTAAATTCAGGATCACACTATCCCTGAAGAGTCAATGTGATGGAATTTCCTTCCTCTTTGTTTCCCCCTACAGCTCTCTGTCCCACCAGGAAACCAAGTCAGAGGGCTTCCCAGTTGTGTAGACCTGGTTTTAAGTGCACACTGGACACCGTAGTAGGGAGGAGTGATGGCCCCTCAAGTTTCCTCTAATTCTGCTCTTCCACCAATGGATGTGCTGTTATTTTGAGCCTGTTATTTAATTGCAACTTATAGTGATCATATCAGAGAGATTTGATTTTGACCCTTTCAATCACAGGTAGTTTGCCATGACCTTTTTTTAAAAGAGAGTGTGTGATTTATCTAGGGTCACCCAGTGGGTTTTCATGACTGAGTGGAAAGTCAAAGCCAGGCTCCATCTACACTAACCATTTAATACAGTTTCAACATGGTACTGAAGAAAGCGATTTTGCTGTACAGATGAATGCATAAGAAATCTTGGAACCAGTTTAAAGCCTAAATGGTAATTACATAAGCCACAGAGCATTGATGCCTTAAGGGCTTTATTCTGCATGCTTTTGTGGCCATTTGTTGTCTGGTCACTGCAGTTTGAAGCTAGTATTAAATTATCAGTGTAGATGGAACTCCAGAATCCTAGAACAAACACTCAAACTTCTACATCAAACTGACTCTCAATTTTTTTTTAAAAAAAACCATGTTTATTAATCCTTCCTCTCCTCCCTCCTTCGCTGCTGTTGCCTCTCAATGTCTTATTTTTGCTATGTATACATATTTAAATATAGGGTGTATTCTAGAATACATTGTTTTGAGGGCAACTTCCATTTTAGTGAGATATGTGGTAGTCCCACTGGAAACAGCTAGGAATAGTGCAGCAGTAGCTGCTGCTGGCTTGTATCCATAGCACAATAGCTGCTGCACAGCATGATGTGTTTTATGCTTTGTGTCATTTAAAAAAAAAGCAGCTGCGTATAAACAGTGAAGAGTAAAAGAATTATCTACTATGGAAATTTGGCTATTTCAGGTTTAGTGTCTCCTCCACAGCTATAACCTTGCAGAAGAGAATGCATTTTAAAAGGACATGTTACTAAAAGGTAAAGATAAAGGTTTCCCCTTGACATCAAGTCTAGTCAAGTCCAACTCTGGGTTGTGGTGCTCATCTCCATTTCTAAGTCGAAGAGCCGGCGTTGTCTGTGGACACCTCCTAGGTCATGTGGCTGGTATGATTTAATGGAGCTCCATTACCTTCCCACTGAAGCATACCTATTGATCTCCTTACATATGCATGTTTTCAAACTTCTGGGTTGACAGAAGCTGGGGCTAACAATGGGAGCTCACCCCATCCTGCGGATTCAAACCACTGACCTTCCAGTCAGCAAGTTATGCAGCTTAACCTGCTGCACCCCTGCAGTCCCTGGATATTTTGCTAGCAAGCCACAAAGCATTACCTTGCTCTGTCAATTTAAAATCCTTGCCACCACAGCACTGGTCTTTCCTTGGATAATAGAATGCTAATACCCATGAACTATGCAGTGGTAACAAAGTGATTGCGGCTACCTGAGTGTGCATACTCTGTGTCAGTTAATGACAATAATCCTCCATAAAAGAAGAAGTGCTGCCATCAAAAAGTCTCTTTCCCTAGAGGGGATGAGTTTCACTCATGGATTCCCATTAACTAGACATCATCTTTGGATATTCTGCCTTTCTCTTCCATATAATGGAATGACGCAGTAAGCATCTGAAGGAAACATCAGTGCTTTCTTCTGGATAGCAGGTTTGGATCTGGAAAGTTCTGTCAATGATAGTCTGCAAAAATGATTTTAAAAATCTCTCACTCTCATTTAAAAAGTGAGCACTATGGTAGCCAGGCCTGACACTAACTAGTGTGTATGAAATGTTGGTGATGCACAGATGTCTCGTTTTTGATAGTATGTTTATTGGGGGGAAGTAAATGTAACAATACAATTTGGATGTATTGTTCTTTTTTAAAAAGAAAAAATATTCAATTGGGGAGAAATTTTCATCAGAAAAAAAGAAATCTGTAAGCAGTATGGAAGAAACATGGGACATTGTGTCATTGTACTATGAGTATTGCCATCCTCTCTGCATATTGAGGTGAAAGCATGGAAGTGCACAGTTATATAAGATCACGTGTTGTGTTTTGCTACACATTGCAGGGGGAAAGGAAGAAACCAACATTGTAGGTCAATAGTAGGGCATCAGATTTGACTGCATGAGATCCCAGATGCAATACCTAACATAGACAGGTAGGGCTTGAGAAACATCTGCTCAGAATCTCAAAGAACCTTAGTTTTGACAGTATTGGGCTACACGGACCAATGGGCTAATTTGGCATAAGGTGTCTTTCTGTGCCTATAAGCACAGAGTAGAAATATAAATCTTTATTTTATTCCTGCATACAAGAATATCAGCATTTTTCTCCCTGCTCCATGGAAATACAAAGGTTTCTACACAATTTTTGAAAACTATTGAAATTTTACAATTTAAATTGCTATATTCACACAGTTTGTACAAATACATGTTTAAAAAAGCAATGTATCTCAGCAGGAAGCCAGGCATCTGGTTCAAAAATATTGCTATTTGTTCATAAGATAAATTCTAAACCACAAAACACATTTTCCGTTCAGAGGAAAAGGTGCATTTTTGCACATGCCAATTTTCCCCAATGAAGTCTCAAAGCACAGAGAACCTTGTGGCCGTTCCCTTTATCATCAGCAGGAGTTTATCCAGTATCAGGGACCCCTTTTCACTGAGAATGTGCATATACGATAGCAAATACGATATTATATCTAGAGTAGTCTGGAAACAGCTGCATCTTTTTAATAGTCAGTTTGTCCCTTGACATGCAGTGTTTTTCAAGTAAGTCTGCCCCTACTGGTTTATTATTCACTTAACAATTTTTATTTATATTGCATTTGGTTCCTATGTCATTAGCAAGACTAAATCCACTGCATTGCTAGTACTGCTCCTTCAGAGAAATTATGGATCATATGGTAAAGTTCACCATACTACTTAACTCAACCATTATGAAAATGGAGAACCAATGTAGTAAGACAATTATGTGAGAGTTTAAAGGAAAAACATATTAGGTGTTATCATTAATAACTGTTTGGAATTATTTAGAATTAGGAATGTGCAGATTTTTGCTATGCTTTAAAATATCCAGTATAGTGAAAATATGTTGGAGATCATTCTACTTATGTGTTAGCACTTCTAGTACAGCAGTAAGTAAAGTTTATTGAACACAGTGGACTCAGAGAATTGGTTCCATCAGTTCCAATGCCCTACATACTCTCCTCTCAATATTGAATTCAACTTGATAGCAGAGCTTACGTTTGACTGTGCATATTTTCAAGAAAAGAAATGGTAACTATAACTTCCCCCGCTTTAAAAAAACTTTTCCAAAATGTTTTTCTACATTTTTGCTTTGTTTTTATTCTAGCATACAACAGTTTTACCTTTTATATTAATTGAAATGAGAACGACACATCATGATTATCCCAGCAAGACCTATGGTTTGATTGCTGTGAGCATCTTTTCTGTTGGCTACATATTATGGTAAGGAATACATTTTTTAAAAAAAATTCTGACACTGAATCACCAATTTCAATGTAAGCGAATTTCCAACTCCCTCTATTCTCTCTACTAGGCTTGGTTGATCCAAAAAATGGTTCAAAACTTGTTTCGGTTGTAGGGAGCGCTGATGGTTTGATTCTAAAATCACTTCTGATTTTTTTTATAAAAAATTGAAAATTTTCTGCAATTTTCTGCAATTTGTTAATGGCAGACACGCATGTGCAATAGGAAAAAAATCACTGGCACTGGGGAAACTTCAGGGGATTCTCCCTCCCTCATTTTTAGACCAATTCTAATGAAACTTGCCACAGTGGTAGAACACATGGACCACTGTTACCTCACCAAATTTCATAACCTTCGACTTATCCATGGATTTTTGGTGAATTTTCAATTTTTTATGAAAACATTTTTAATAATAAAGAAAATATGTTTCTGGTTTGAAATTTTTATTTCCTGTTTCATTGGGTGGTCTTTACTTTGAAAGTAGTTGTTCTACTCCAGAAACTTCGTGTGGCGCAAACGGTGTTAAATTGGTGGAGAACAGAAATCATAGTAGCGACCCCATCAAGGGACATCTAGACTAACCCCCTTTTTCTGGGCAGAAAGGCACCATCCAAACTCTCCTGACATTCATTTGCTTCCTCTACTGAGTTGGAGAGGACCCTCAAGACGCATCCATCCATTTATTCCTTTTTGCAGATGCAGTCAATCATTTTATTTTATCATTACTTACTGATGTAAAGGGCTGGCAGTGGCTAGCTGTGGCTGGCTTCTCCAGTACCTTGTTCATGGCAATCAGGCCAAAGTGAAATGATTGTTTTTTAAGCAGTTTATGTTCTCTGGGCTTTGCAAAAGTTGCTTATTGCTTTGCTGCCTTCTTTAGGCTCCTTTGTAGATTCAATCAGTTTATTTTGTATTTAAATGAAGACTGCTACAGACAGCTATAGTGGAGGGGTCCTTCAGCCATTTCGGCTAATGAGTAGCAAGGCAGTGTGGGAATTGTAGTTTAACAGCAGGGCCTTTTGCAATCTCTACCATTGGGGTCCTGGCCTTCACAAACTACAACAATGGCTGTGCTTAGCCATGCCCACCTCATTCCTCCCTTGCATCTCCAGGGAGGGAAAGCATGAGATTTTAAAACTTTTTAGGCTTTACCAAAGTTGCTTAATGTTTCTGAAAATTAAAATAAACTTGGGAGACATCCGAACATTATGGAATATTTCCAGGGTGAAAAAAGGTGAGTGGTTCAAATTTGGATTTGCCCCTCCAACTTTTCCTGCATGGTTCAAAACTGCTTCGAAAGTCAAAAGTCGGAAGTTTTTTACAAGTTTGAGGCTCTTCCGAATGAACCTATCCAACCCTACTCTCTATCATAGCACTGTTTCTGGCATTTTTTAATGTCTGGGTGCAGTGGCCAGAGGTGGCTGCCCTTGAGGTGGCACTGGAGTATTTCCCTCTTTGCCGAACAACCCTCAACTTATCCATGGGTCATATCAAAATCCATAATTTTGGCCCCACAACCTCTTCTTGACTTAACCATGGAGTTATACAATAATATCTATTTTCTGTGATCATTATAAATATTAAATATATTGTACATTTAATTTCAAGCATTTTTCTTTACCTCAATTGGAGGATGAAACCTGAGGGGTCCCCCCCCCCCTTCAAGACATACTTAGAACTAAACTGTCTTCTTTCCCCTGAAGCCTGTAAATGGTAGGGACTCAGCAAAATGGTTCTGGCTTTGCACTCTAAAGTGTGCCTTAATGCATGTTCCCTTGTGCTTATCTAATAATGCGGTTGGACAGGAATTGCATTGTTGAAGGCATTCATTAGAGGTAATAACAAGTAATCTTGTATGGAAGGTTTATGCCTAAGGTTGAACAGCCCATTATTGCACAGGATTGAGTTAGCATGTATTCAAGGAGGAATGAACTCCTTCACAAAGACCATCAAATGATGTTTCCATGGTAGCACTGCTACTTTTCCTGGTCACATTTGTAATATAGACAATGCAGGAATACTCATAATACCACTAATCTGGGGTGGGGATTGATAACATAAGTAGCATAGTGTGTGAGGTTGAGTACTGTGCTGTAAAATGAGGTCAGTCATATCTAGTCAAAGGTGGTTCTGAACTCTCTCCTTGAAGGAGCACTTAAGTTGAGTTGCTCTTTCCCTATCTAAATCTGATAATGACTTTCCATTTGCTTGTATTGTTGCTCTACAGTAAAATAAGAAAAACATAAACAAAAACCACAAATTAGAAATAATCTAATAAAAATCTAAATGGTGTAGTGTAGAAATTTGCTGCTCAGACCCTAGAGATCATTATCTAGAAGTAAAGGTACATGGAATGGTAGCTATGACAATAGGATCAGCTGCCTAAAGATGATTTCTTTATCCTGCAAAGTACAAAATATTAACACATACCAATTATGGACTAAGTCATGAATGCCATTTGTTGACACAATGTATGGGTTAAGGATCTGTTACCACTGTTTAACATTTAAACATTCTGGGTAAAAGTTGCTAGGACACTTAGATGCTCCTTAACAGTCCAATCCTAAAGACACAGAACAAAGTTCTGTTGGTTTACAGTAAACCCATTTCCTCGTACATGTTCCTTGGATTGAAGCTTTAGTCCAGTAGAGAACAGTGAAGTGAATAATTAATTGTTCCAGGTTTTCTCACAGAATGGATATATTCACATTTTCAAAAGTAGATCCCTAGTAATGGAGTAAAACATTGGAAACTGACTCATAGTAGGTCACACTGTCTAGCCCAACATTTGCTAAAATGGCTGGCAATAGTTATCCAGCATCTCAGTGACACCTGTCTCACCTCCTTCTTTGTTTTAAGGGAATGCAAGGGAATGAGGAAAGTGGGAACAGAACTGAAAAAATAAACAACAATAGACACACAAAGTGCCAATTCTATAGCATTCTATTCAGCAATCCCTAAGGCAGTGAATAATAAGGCAACTAGGTATTTCCTGTGCACTAGTATCCACTGAGTTCTGGTGCCAGCTATCATCTGAAAAACATCATAAGAAGAAGGGCATTGGGGTCAATGGGACTTACTCTTAGGTAAGTGCATAAATGATTGCGGCCTAAATCTCTTAATCTTCAATGTGCCACAGTGCTTCCTTCTCTTATCACTGAAACATTTAGATCATGGTGACTGAGTTTCTATTATTCATGCTCATTTGCCTCCAGGCATCATAGTCATAAATAAATTAACTTTCCTTTAACCACATTGATGGTAGCATCTCCTGTTCTTACATAAGGCATCAATAATTTGAAAGTGAGAGGAGCAAGATTTAGGGAACAGGAAATTGCAAGCACTTTCCTGCATCTTCTTGTGTGTCATATTAAGAATGTAGGGGTGCTTTTTATATAAAGAGGCTATACTTTTCACTATAAACTATAGAAGGATTTACATAGGAAGTTGCCTTATATTGTGTCAGACCATAGCTCCTTCTGGTCTACTATTGTCACATGGCTAGCAGTTGTTTTGCAGTATAATTCCAGGGCTTTTGTGGTGGTCTCACATCAAAACCCGACATTGGATATTTGGTGTGATAAGGATGATAACATGGCATCTGAACACATTCCTTTTTTAAAATACCGCAGTCAAAACATTGGTATTCTTACAGTTAGAACTAAGTTAAATGAGATGTTGGGTAACAACTTATCTGAGAATAAACTCCATGAAATTAAGCGGGCCTTACTTCTAAATAGAAATGTATAAAAGTGTCATGTTGAAAGATGATTTTATAGTGTAAGCTTTTGTCTGAATACTTTCTATTGCTGTCTTCATTTTCTACTAGGATCTGTTGGATTTATCACGTCACGGGTGTTTGGGTATACCCTCTCCTAGATTACCTTGGCTCAGGGGCTAAAATTGTCTTCTTTGCCATCGTAACTACCATAATTGGCATCCTCTACCTGCTGGGTGAGCTGCTAAATAATAGCATCTGGGATACACATAAATGTGAGTATTGTTCTGAGAAACACTCATGTGAGTATGAAGTAAGAGCTGCTTCATGTATTCATTCTAGAGAGTGACTCTACCATAGCTTTTTGCTAGCTTTCACATAATATTTCTATGTTAGAGAAAACATTACTTATCACCCATTATAATATAACATATTAGCATTCATTGTTTTCATGATGCTGCTTTTTTATTCTCACAAAAATGATGGATTGAAAAGAAGTTACTCACAGATTTCTATACCAAAGGTGGTTTTACGTGGAGGTAGCCTGTATTTGGATGTCAGTGATAATTTTAATCTCATATTTTACATTTAATTGAAATTCACCTCACATAACCTGAACTCTACATATGGTCTAGAAATGATCAGGGGGGGGGGAGTAGATTGGAAAGCAATATCCAACCTAGAAGACTGGACATGGAGTAAGCCCACCATCTGCCTGTCAATATTCACTGAATGTGTAGATGAACCCAGAGGCCTTGCTGAGCCCCCTGCCCATTTCTTGGTATGGATTGGACAGTCTCTACCTCTTCTTCATGCTATATAGTGGGGCAGCAGGAAGTTACCTGCATACATGCTGGTTTCAAAGCACGAATGACTTAAGTATTATGGGAGGTGGGGTGAGAAAAGTACTCATAAATGTACAGATTAAGCTGTGATTTATGCAAGGTGCTTAGCTATATTTTCCATTTATTTCTTTATGATACTTGTATGTCATTCCAAAATGAAAAATATCTGGACAGCATGCAATAAGCAAACAGAAATAATCTACTATACAATTAAGTAGCCTCAGGAGAGCATCCCAAGCCATCCAATCATGCCTCCAATATCAAAGTTTCAGCAAAAGGGAAAGAAGGGTATTTTTAAGGAAGGAAGTGAGCAAAAGTACTTTATTTTTTGCATTTTTCTCCATCCCATTGGTATTCCACGGGGTGTGGGATACACTGGATACCGTGACATGCATAAGCAATGGACAAAGAACCTAGTCTGGAATCCTTTAGATACTTCCCACTCTTGAAATTGGACATATCTAGTGGATCTGTCTTTTGTGATATTGTGTGAGGAGGTATTCAGTATTTAATACCTCTTTATGCAAAAGATTTACTGAGCAGTTCTACTAGCACTGTAGAACATTTAGGTGTAAGACAATCGAGCTGTCAAAGACCAACACTCAGTGTGGACTCAGGGGTAGATCACCTCTCACAGTGTCATTGAGTCATCTTCCTTAATCCTCTATGTTCAGCATTTGCAGTTAGGGATGGGAGAAAAACTAAGGACAACAGGATTAGAGGGTTGTACACAGAAGTTACATGTACTCAAGATAGAGCTTCTAAAATATATATCTTGAGGTTTGGATGGATAGATACTTGAGAAAATGAAATTTCAGATAGCTTCCTTTGTTTCGAGCTTTGAGAGATAAAATCATAAATTTGGTTCTAAAACATCCTGGAAGCTAGTAGAGCTGACACACAGACCTAAGCTGCTTTGTATCTCCTTAGTGGTGAGAAAAATCAGGGTAGTAATAATAATAATCGTTATTATTATTATTATAGTTGTCTAGCAATTTTATTTTGGTTCAGTTTTAATCTCTGACAATATCCCATGAAATCCTGGAATGTGTTGTTCAATGAGGCACTGGAGTTCCCTGGCTATGACTTCTAAATGCCTTTCCATAAAACGCCAATTCCAGGATTACATGTGGTGTTGCCATGACAGTTGTAGTGGCATATAAGCACTATGCTCGTATATTGTGAATGAGCCCCAGGACACTGGCTTTGATGGATTAATTGTCATACCAGCTGAGATCTACATGTGAAAATATCTGCTATGACAAATTGGTAGATGTGTGGTACTCTTTTATTATGTTTGCTGGAACAGAATTATCTCCACATGACTCTTCATCAGAGCTATTGAGGTTCTGAAAAAATCCATTTGAAGTTTATTTATTGATGGTCTCAATAATGTAACTTTATACACAAGTGGAAAATTGTGGTACTTAAAATATTCTTCTATTCACTTTGTGCAATATGTCTTATTTCCAATTTGATGTTGCTTTTGTATTGTTTTGAACAAGAAAAATATTTTTAAACATACATTGTCCTGAGTGCCCAGCAATGCACAAACAGTTCCAACTGTTAATCATCTCGACCCAAACAATATGTAGGCTGTTCATATTTGTATAAAATGTTCATTTTAAAATGTTATTTTGTCCTAGAAACCTGCAAAGCAGTCTGTTTACAAATGTAATTTCCAAAAATATTAGCATATAGATGTCTTGAGGTTTTTAGAAGGAAGCAAAGGCAACTGCCCTGTATAATTGTAAAACATATGTTCCCTAAAGGATTTGACAGATGCACCATATACAATAAGACTCCCTTATCTGTGAAGGATATTTTCCAATACCTCTGAAACTGTGGAGAGTCTCAATTCTATATTTTCAGTCTGTGATTAAGTTACCGAGTTCAAGCAGTGAACCACGATCTGAAAATATAATGCCCCCTCCACTCACTGCTGCCGATCTGGTCCCAACTTTCCTCCAATTGATTCCTCAAATGCTTGTGTGGATTCTTGAAAGTGGGAGGTCAGTTTCCAGTCACAGCAAACCATAGAATCATGCTGGACAACCAAGAAATGCACGCCAAAGTTTTCAGGAATGGCAGTTGTGGATATATGAAACCACAGAAAATGAACCCCTGGAAAAGAGGATTTAACTGAGGCAGTCGGTGCATATCATTAGATAAAGAGGATGTGAGGGAAAATAAAGACATTTACAAGACATTTTTGAAAGGCTCCTTCTCCACCCCTCCCTTCTTCAAAAGCTACATTCAATAAAATCCACTGCTGTCAAAATAATTTGCGGTTAGTTTTTCCAAGCTAAGCCTCAAACATGGCAGACAAAGAAAAATCTTCCCATTCTGCAAGCCAGAGCTGACCCATGGGTCTGAAGGATTTAGAATTTCTGCCAGAGTCCTGGATCCATCAGCGCTCACATTCTTCTCAGGGAAATAGGGTGAGGGCTATTTTGTAAAGAGAAATAAAACAGCACCATTTAAAACCATTGGAAAGTTCCCTCCAGCAGCAGAGGACACAAGGGAGCAGAAATTGGCAAGAGCACAGAATCCAGAGCCAATATATGCCTTTCTGGAGCCATGCCATTGTTTTATTTTCTTAAACCTTTGACTGGCTATCCAATTATTATTAATTTTTTTTGGTTTGTCAGCAACACCCAGCCCATTGTTTTCTGATCATTGGCAATGTTGAGTCTCAATTGTTTCCTTATTATATTCCTCAATAAAGCTGCCACTACAAAATGCCTTTACCCCTTCTCTGTAATCTAAGCTGAGATGGATGCATTTTTCATAGGGGCCCACTGTTCAAACTTGGAGCCAAGCAGTTTTTTCCATTCAAACTGTAATATGATTTATGGTCAGGTTTCTCTTTCAAAAGATTTCCCCTCATCCTTGCCCACCCCTGTATCCTGTCTCATTGTAAGATCAGAAATCTTTCCTTGGGATATGCATCTGTGTTGGAAACCTCCAAAAGAAACACTTTCTGAAAAATTCTGAGGTGTTTGGCAGGGAGATTTAATCCAAATAAGTTAAACAGACAAAAGAACAAAACTTTTGCCAGAAGCTAATAATAGAACCTTGCCCAAGAAAAAGTATCTCGAGAGCTAAATGTGTTGAGTTTTTAGAAAATCACAGTGGGCATAATCCAGTTAACACTGTAGTTGTGTTGCCTGAAAATGAATGATCACAAGTGGGTTAAGCAAAACAGGGAAGTCTGTGATTTGTAATCCAAAAAAGGATACAGTAAAGGTAAAGGTTTTCCCCTGATGTTAAGTCTAGTCATGTCCGACTCTGGGAGCTAATGCTCATCTCCATTTCTATTCCGCAGAGCCAGCATTGTCCGTAGACACCTCCAAGGTCATGTGGCCAGCATGACTGCATGAAGTGTCATTACCTTACTGCTGGAGCAGTATCTATTGATCTACTCACATTTGCATGTTTTCAAACTGCTAGGTTGGCAGAAGCTGGGGCTAACAGCGGGAGCTCATGCCATTCCTCAGATTCGAATCTACAACCTTTCAGTCAGCAATTTCAACCAGTCAGCGGTTTAACCCACTGCACCACCGGGGGCTCCTCAAAAAGGATATACACATATTCATACCTCTTGACCAAGCACATGTGTATTGTTTTAAAGGCAGTTTTAAAGCAAGCAAAGTTAATACAACACTGTCTTGCATATATAGCCATTCAATCTCATCTAAGTGCCCCTGGCAAGTTACCTAAACTCTGCTTTCACTGCTTGGGTTGCTGTTAAAGAAGAGAAGAAAAATAAAGGGAGATTATTGGCAGTAACTAGTTTTTTCTGTTTATGCTCAGGTATGGAAGAAGGAAAAGAAAAGCCAAAATTGGATTGAATATGAGCTGAAAGAACAGAAAAGAAGACTCTTCTGCTTCATGGAAGGCATCTCTGTGTTGAGAGATGTTGCAAGAGGAAGCCATTTACTTGAACAAAACATCTATGATACTTTTATTATTTCCTTAAGGGGGTATTGATTTGACAACCTCCTCCTCCTTCCTGAAAATCTAAATCTGCCTAAAAGACTTTATTTGATGGGTATCTCTCCAAGGTCCTTAGCACATGCCATTATGTTCATCAATATTGCGTTCTTCTGGTAGCAGTGAGAAGATTTAAGGGGATTTATTCTAGCTCTGATGTAGAAATACGATTAGACAGACCAAGACTGAATCACTGTGGAAATCATTTGTATTTTCTGACTATTGTCTGTGATGTGGTGGATGAGCCACCACAAACAAATCAAAGAAAACTGTTGTGTTTTGATTAAGTAGCTTGCAGTAGATGCTGGAAACAATGAGGATGGAATAGAAGATTCAAGGTTAGGAATGCTCTTGTGACAGATGGGACACCTTCAAGATACGACAAGGGGAGGAGGTGAAACTCTGTTGTTATCCTCTTCCCTGCTTCATTGTTAATTATTCCCATTCTTCCCCCCACCCCCCACCCCCCAAAAAAAGCCAGGTATGAATCATTATAAGTACTAAATATTGCAATTAAAATGTATGCATATTGTTCCTGAGAAGCAAATAATTAATAAATATCAGACTATCCCAGCCTCTCTAGCTCCTCCTGCCCTGCTATCCAAGTCTCCCTTTCCAGGAGGTACTTCGTAAGGCACAGCTAAGTTTTAAAGAAGAAGTATGTTTTCACCTATCATATCCTTTCCTAATTCAATGCAAGTGACAGGCAGATTGCTGGAATTTAATATTTATTTGACAATAGGTTTGCAACCCACATTACATGGAAAATACATAGGAGGAGATTGGTAGCAAACAGATTTTGGGGTAGAATAGGAAAACACCAAGTAATAGTATTACAAAGGCAAGGTCATGGGTATTTTGGGAGCATATTACACCAGTGCCATGCTGCACAGCTTGCTTCTACCTCTAATGGAGGGCAGCTTCCAAATACCGAAGCATGGGCAGGAATGTTAGGCAGCATCTGCAGCCTGGAGAATGTATGTCTCCATCCTTGACCTTGTGAGCACACATACTTTGTATAAGTTCAAGGGAGAGCATCAGCTGCTCTTGCAATTGCAGAACTGTAACGAGATGATGCCATGTATCCTTGGCCACTATGTGACTGAGGAAAGCAAGCTCAGAAGCTCATATGGAGTTGCCAGTGAATTGGTGAGCAGTCTGGGAAGTCTGTCCCAAAGTCCCTTTTGATGACACAAAAGGCAGGTGGCATGTTCTGTGATCTTAGGGATCACTCTGGTTTCCAAACAGTGAGCAGAGGCTAGAAATGGTCTACATCCATTTAGCAGGCAGGGTTTCAAAGTAATGAATCATATGTGTACTATTTAATACAAATGTGAATAATTTACATTTCTGAAGATTTTCGGAAGGATATCACATTTCACCAGAATATGCTTCTTTCTAGGTAGCGCAATGAGTGGCCTGTGATCTAAGCAAAGAGGGTACCTCTCCCTCCCCTCACTTGGACAATTGGTAGATAAAACTATGGGATGATCAATGTATGGGAAAATGTGTTTCAGTTTTCTTCCAGTCTGTAGATGTTGAAGCATTTATGTATTTTTGCCTGGTGAGAAATCTGTAGCGCAATATCTAAGCCTACTCATACACCATACTCATATACCATACTCATATACACCCGGTCTAATTTCCTTTAGGCTAAAATGGGACTTGATCCAGGGTGAGTGGGGCTAGAATTTCAGCTCATGGCATAAGCTATTAGAGCAGAAATAAACAAAATTAAGGCTGTCTGTGCATTTGAAAGACTCTACTGTGTATATATGGGAATACTTGTACCAAAGAGGCTGAAAGGCCTCAATTTCGCCACATATCTCAATGAGGAAATATTTATAGTTAATGCACAAAGTGCAATGCAAAGTTTTTAAACACTTCAGCGAGGCAATATAAATTAAAGTTCCCCTATCAACAATGGGAAGCTCGGGTTGAGTAAAAATGAGAGCCTCCAGTTTGTTAATAATCTTAAGAGTGCTTTCATGTGGCAAGGCTTGCATAATGCATTCTTCGCTGTTGGGACTTGCATGTCTGCAGTCTGAGTCTGTGTTTCTCATTGACCTTTTTATTCATTAAACACTGGGTGCTGGCCTTTGTCTGTACTTTGCTTTACTTACTGCACAAATGGTAAATGTTAAAAAGAGAAAGAACACGGAAATATTACTGAACAGTCCACATTCTTCCCATCTGAGACGGCTGGAAGAGCTAGGGCAATGGTTCAAGCAGTGTAGAATGGAGAAGGTGAAAAGGACAGGTTATGTTGCATTCCTGACCTGCTAAGTGGCCACTGCACAAATCGAGTACTGGACTAGATAGGCTTCTGGGCGTACAGAGCACAGCTGTTAGGCAGCATAAGAGACTGTTGCAGCTCTCTTCAACAGGAATGTCACATCAGAAGTATTAAGCTACAGGGGAAGACTTTGAGCGGCTTTCTACTCAAAGTTCACACTGATTTCTAGGAAATATTATGTTAGTTTGGGTAGAAGCTCTAGTGCGACTTGTAGCCTAGACTTCTGATGTCACTTTTGTATCATAGGAATAACTTTGGGGGGGGGGGGTATTAGACCAGTGCCAATCAAAGCAGTCCATGAGCTGCTGATCCCTGGTAGGTTTCCAGGAACGAAAGCAACAGTTGTAGCCAATGGGCCTATGGATGATGCTAGTCCCCAGCACATTGGGGAAAAAATTCTGGTTCCTCACATTGAGTATTCTGAGATATTTTAGATAGACATAATTTATCAAAGTCTTAAAGAGGCAAATTGATTTTAATAATATTTGCCAAACTCATACCCTACATGGTCCCAACTTGGTAGGGAGAGCCCACTTGTTCAACTGTATTTAAAATGTCCCAGATTCTCCTTCTGCCTCCCACTTTCCTCAGATTAATTCGATTTCTGCAAAAAGGTCCAAATGAACTCAACAGAGGAGAGGGGAGAGGTGGGTATGGGATATTTCTTACCTAATAGGATTAAGAAAATGCAAACTGCTTTATTCTCGGGTCTTTGGGTCATCCTCATTAATAACTTTTGCCATCTTGACTACATTCTGGTGTTGTTTACTACACCTGTTCTAGTTTTCATATATGAAATGTGTGTGAAGTGGGAGGTTATGTATACATGCACCTGTAACAAACAGAACTGGGTCTTCACTGTGCCTCCTGCAGACAAAAGGACTATCATAATGAAAAAGCTTTTTTAGTCCTCTGAAGAAAAGAGGGGCACCTAGTACCAATCTCCACATTGCTGAAAAGGTTTTTCAACCCTCCAGAGCAGAATTTGGAAGGCAAACAACTTTCCTCCCTGCCTTCTGCTAATGAGAACAGTTCTTTGGGGATTCTCCTGCTGGCAGGAGCAAAGTCTGGATCCAAGCAATTAAAACTGCAATCTGCAGATTACAATTCAAAAAGAATTGTCTCTACATCTACAATATCATATCCATTAAAAAAACTACCCTTCCTCTTATCCAATCAGAGCCAATGAGAAATAGTCTCAGTTAAAGTAGTAGCCCCTAATCGTGAATGCAGGTTGAGTATGATGTACAATACAATCCCCATATTAGTTGGACATAGATTTCCAGATATAATTTAGATTTCTTCTGCGTGGTACTGTGAAATCCACACCTGTGGTATTTCCCTGCGTCCACGCAGCTGACTCGGATCTTTCTTGAAAGCTTTTCCTAATTAGGGACTCCAGCCCCGCCCATCTACTCCTAATAAAGCCAGGTAGCGGGGCTTGGAGCCTTAATTCCTTTTGTCCGCGAAAGCAGCAACAACTCGGTGTTCTCTCCTAAAACAACTATTGGTTTGACTCAAGGACTCCAGTTTGACTACTCTAACAGACAGCAATTCCAACTTGTGTTCTGGGACCTTTGTTTATCCTATTCAGGCCAGTATGGCATTTTCTTTGAAATGTATGGCTTATGGGGGGAAGTTGCTCCAGGGTGACTCCCACCCCCTTTGTGTTTCTTGCCTTTGGCAATGGGCAGTAACTTACCTTCTTTTCTTCTGTTCCCCTCGCTCAGAAAGCAGGAGGGAAGAAGACTTTTAAACAGCCTACCACCCCTTTACAGAACCAGGAACTGGTAGAACTTGCAGCAAAATGCCACTGTGGCTTGGTGCCAATAACTTTGTTTTGGGTTGCAGCCACGCATCTCAGCTGTTTC